CCGGAGGACCCGGCCTGTCGTTTTGGACACAGCCTAAGTTTCCATTCTCTGCAGGTTTCTAAGGTTCTTCTTCTACATATTAAAAAGTTGTTAAACATCTGAGTGGTGCACTACTGCTACTAGTGGTGAGAAAGTGTATTACACCTTATTCAAAATCAATGTGGTCCCACGGCCCTCTGCGGCCCAAAGTTAAAAACTATTGTTCTTTTGAGGCCGTCAAGGTGGCGCTCGTGGCCCACAATTGGGCCACGGACCATAGGTTAAGAATCTCTGCTGTAAACAACCATCTCCTACTGGGCGGAAGGGAGTTTAGAATCGAGCAGAATTGCGTAGAAAGGCAATGGCAAGGCAGTTAACTGCATGTGATTGAGCACAACATTATAGTAAATGTTAAATGTCCTCTACGTGTATAGCACTGTATCAAGACTCTACAGACAAAGTGCTTCACACTACAGTTATCCATTCATACACACATTCACACACTGATGATGGTGACCTCAGGGGCGAGGCTGCCATAAACTTGTGCCACCTCTGACCACCACCAGCAGCTAAGGTAGGTGAAGTGTCTCATCCAAGGACACTACTGAGCAGGAGTTACAGGACAAACCCCTACCTTCTGTTGCTGCTGTTGTCCCAATTATTTTAAAGGTTTGACAAAATGGCTTGGTGGTCTTAGTTTATAACTCCGGCATGAAAGTTGGTGGGTGACGTGCATTGTGTTAAGAAATACTGGACCTTTGGTTTGTTTCTGTTCAGCAGGACTGGCTGGTTGTTTATGCTATGATAGAAAGAGAGAGGCGCTGTCTGTCTGAACCGTATTGTTTCTGTTGGTTCCTGTGGTGTTCACCGCTCATCAAGGTAAATGAAAAGCTCCTCTCTCAGCTAAACATCTCATTACGAGCGCCACAACTCCCACTTGTAAAATTATGTGTTGTATTCCTGCAGAGCTTTCAGTGAGCTTTTACCTAAACAAAAAACCTCAGGTAGCAGTGATGTTACCTGGAGCGAGTGCCACCTGCATATTTACCCTGTCAGCTGGAGCCCGTTTTAAGGAAGAAGTGGAACTACACATGCGTATCTGTTCTTGCGGGTAAACGGTGTGTCCTAGGTCTATAGTTCAGAGACTGAGGCCAGTTCTCAGGGAGGAGGCCATGAGATCATGACTGTAGCCACTGCCCCCCGGTGATTATGGCTGTCTCCTCCTCCACTGTTGTTTATCTGGTGCAGGGCCAAACAGAAGAAGTGGGAGGGTGCTGAAGGACATGGCAAGCTGTAAATCTGATGCTTAGCAGCCACTGAAATTCATTCGACTGCTGAATGATGAATTACTTCTGTAAAGAACTCTTTAAACAATAAACTTTAAAGGGATCCATGATTAGTTGTAACATTAGACTTTATTTCATAAAAATATATTTTAACTGTAAAATAAAGACTAGAAATACTGTAGGCTGTTTAGTTTTTATAATTTTTAAACTAAAAGTTTAAAAATATATTACACGGATGGGGCCATTTTATTTACACACAAAGCATTCTGGGTAAATGATGACGTGGATAGGTCCTCGGTGCGAGGCTGCTAGCGAGCTATATCCACCCTGAAGGTTAATCTTGGACAATATCTGATGATCGACTCTTTTAAATGAAACCAGAGAGCGTTGACAGAGAGGAGAAGGTAGAAATGACTCAGCCTGTAACTGAAAATATGGATGGAGGACCTCAGTTTAGCTTGTTTGTCATGCTAGCGTGAGCACTTTAAACAGCACAAGGCCAACCAAAGTGCTGTACAGTAGACAGACACAACAGGACATAGTCAAAATACAGATAAAAATATGGAGCATTTATATTTACAGTACACATAGAACAGAGTTATGATACACAGTGAGGTTTTGCACCATCTCACTCAGACTCAAAGGCAAGGGAGTAGAAGTGTGTTTTTAAGCAAGACTTGAAGACAGTGAGTGAAGAGGACTGTCTGACCTGTAGTGGTAGAGCATTCCACAGTTTTGGACCTGCTACAGAAAAGGATCTGTCACCTCTCAGTTTGAGACCAGAGTTAGGGACCTTCAGAAGCAGATGACCAGATGATCTAAGAGAGCATTATGGGACAAGTGTATACACTAGATCTGAGAGGTAAGAGGGGGCGGAGTTGTTTAGGCATTTAAAGACATACAGGAGGATCTAAAAGTGAATTCTGAAATGAACCAAAAGCCAGTGAACAGTTGCTAGAACAGGAGTAATATGTTCTATTTTTCTTGTGCCAGTTAGAAATCGGGCTGCTGCGTTCTGAACCATTTGGCTGATTCCATACAGCAGAACATTACAGTTATCCAGCCTGGATGTAATGAACGCATGAATTACTGTCTCCAGATTTCTTTTTGACAAGATGGGTTTTAACTTGGACTCTCCTCAGCTGAAAAAAGCAGGATTTAACAATGGAGTTTACATGACTGTTTAATTTCAAGTATGGATCCATTTTTACACCTAGGTTGGTGACAAGTTGTTTTTCAAATGGGGCCGGAGTGGAAAGGTTGATGTGTTATTGTTTGTGTTGTTAGTTGCAAACAGAATGACTTCTGTTTTCTTCTCATTAAAGTTTAGGAAGTTTAAAGCCATCCAATCYCTGATGTCAGCCAGGCAGTCAAGAAGAGGTTGGATGCAGTGTGGGCCAGCCTGTTTCAGAGGAAAGTAAATTTGACAGTCATCCGCATAAAGATGAAATGGTATGCCATGTTAAGAAAAATTAGTGGCAGTAGGTATAAGGAAAAAAGAAGGGGTCCCAGGATAGAGCCCTGTGGTACTCCCCATTGCAGTGCTGCTGATGAGGACTTGAAGTCCTCTATGTTAGCACAGAAATGTCTGTCTGTCAGGTAGGACTTGAACCAACTGAGGGCTGAACCTGTGTTACCCACCTCCTTCTCCAGCCTGGAAATGAGGATGTTATGATCAGTGGTGTCGAAGGCTGATGTGAGGTCTAACAGCACAAGGAGGACAGATTCACCAGAGTCTAGGGCTGAAAAGATGTCATTAAACACCTTCAACAGAGCAGGCTCAGTGCTGTGATGGGATCTGAAGCCTGATTGAAATGTCTCCAAAATTTTGTGATCCTCCAACAAAGGTTTTAACCGAGTGTCCATTACTTTTTCCAACAGCTTTGATAGAAATGGCAGTTTGGAGACAGGTCTAAAGTTAGACACTATGGAAGAGTCAAGGCCATTTCTTTTCAGGAGGGACTGCACGGCTGCTAAACCTGTAGTTAATCTGCTGTTTATAATGTTAAGAACAGCAGGACCCAGAGTAGGGAAGATCT